GGCTGAGAAGTGGAATTAAAACCAGTGTATATTATTGCAAAACATGTGTGTCAGTATGTATCAAGTTCATCCCAACTTGGCAACTTCATTAATAACATGTCAGTGTGTACTAAGTTGAGCATCTTTCATAGGAAAGTTGTAGTTCTGTTGATCAGAAGAGCAAGATTGGTTTCTGTTTTTTGTTGATGCTCCCGGATTGAGTTGATGCTCCTGGAGTACCCCAACAAGTAGGGAACATTGAGTGTGGTTATTATACCATGCGATTTTTATGGCTCATCGTCACTATGTGTGCACAATGTTCTTTACCGTTATCCGATGCAAGTTTATTTTAGTGTGTTTTTGAAAGTAATGAAGTGTATATCGTCATTTTTTTCATAGTTTATTAAACTTTATGTTGTATGTTGTTTTCGTATTGCAGGTATTTCAGTCTACTTCGCCTTATACTAGAGCCGAATTAGAAGAGGTTAGAGAGTTTTGGGCGGGGGGTTTTCTCGATGAACTAGTGTAAGTTTGTGTTGTATTTATAGTATTAAATGTATGTTAGTAGAGTGTAGGTGTTTGACTCTTAGTTGTGTTGTTAAAACTTAGAAGAGTAGTTGTTTTACTCTTGGTATTTTTAAGATGTACAAGTGGTGGATGCAAATGTTTACTTTTTTTGTTTAATTTGTTTTGTGGCATTTGGATTTTGTGAATGTATTTGTATTTGTTATTGGTTTGTGTTAGTTGTTGTTGTGTTGATGGGTTGAATTGTTGTTGTTGTTGAATCTGTATATTTTGCACAGAATTCTGTGCAAAATTGAAAATGTAGTGGATCGGGAGCAAACAAAAAATTCATTTTGAAAAAATTAATTTTTTGCATGGGTTATCTGGTAATAACCGATTCAAAAGCCTATTCTCAGAAATGGGAAAAGGGCTTTTGAATCGGTTATTTGGTAATAACCGATTCAAAAGCCTCTTCCCAGAAATGGCACCAATTCTGGGCAGAGGCTTTTAAATCGGTTATTACCAAATAACCGATTCAAAAGCCTCTTCCCAAAATTGGTGCCATTTCTGGGAAGAGGCTTTTGCATCGGTTTTGCAACCGATGCAAAAAGTAATCTAAGCATTTGCATCGCTGGCTTTTGCATCGGTTCAAATCTGATTTAAAAGGGTCAAAATAACCGATTTAAAAAGTCTTTTTTGTAGTAGTGCTTATAGATGAAAGTGGTAAGCAAATACCTACTTACCACCTTATGAGCATTTGTTTTTTACAAAAATTTAAAAATTCAAAAAATATTTATGTTGTGAGAAAATTCACAAAAAGGAGTCTAAACTTCAAGTCCTCAAAGAAGAACTCTTGAAATTTTAGTGTCTAAAATTGAATTAAGCTACTTTTATTTTGAGTTTCATCTTTAATTTTTACTTAAAAATCAAATCAGAAATCGCAAACTCACCCCTACCATACATCTCACCAAACATTTTAGAACGTGAAATTTGCATTTATTAGTACTAAAATATGAGTATGTCTTTTCCTAATATATTACCTAAAACTTTTTATTCCCCGAGTAGTACTTGAACAATGTCCAGTGACGGTACATATTTACTTTGAAGTCCCGTTCGGTACACGGAATTAGAATTAAGGACTTCAATTAAAATTCTGGTGTTTAGTAGCACAAAAATTATGTAGATTTGGAATTGGTAGTGCAAAAAATGAATTGGAATTGATGAATTCAATTCTATGGAATTAAAAAAAATTCTATGGAATTGAATCTCATGAAATTTCAATTCCAATCTCATCAATTCTATATACCAAACGGACCCTGAACAAAGTCCAGTGATGGTGAATATTTACTTGAACAATGTCTTGTGGATATTGAACAATGACACGATATTGAAAAATTGAAACATACCATACTGCATAGGGAAACTCACCATATTTTAGTACAATATTGTTGGGACTGCGTGTACCCTCACCCCAACCCCGCATTAGTATGATATTGTCCGCTCTGGGCCAAGCCCTCACGGATTTATTTTTGGGCACCTCCCAAAAGGCCTCATACTAATGGAGTTGGGTGAACCTATATATTTTGGTTCATTTACTCCTACTCATCCGGTGTGGGACTTGGAGGAATCCCAACAAACCTCCCCTCATCGAAGGACCACACAACTTCCGACCTCCCCTCCAGCGGTAATCCCTTTTTTTTCTTTATCTGCTAACCATCTTGCACCGCCGCACACTCTTTGCGGGACACGCCGCCCGACCTCCTGTCGGGAAGACTTTCGACGCAAGGCTCGAACCGCAAATCTTTCCTTCGCTGGGCTACACCATTTGATCTGCCAAATCATCTTGTACCGCCGTGGCTATAACTTCACGGGACGCGCCGCCCGAACTCCTCTCGTCGGGAAGACTTTCGACACAAGGCACCACCTGCAGATCCTCTTTCTTGGTCTTGGTCCTAGTTACACCGTCACACCGAGATTTTTTCCACACTGCACAGTCCGCTACTCCCGCCCGCAAGAACCTGGGCTCCGATACCACATATTGGGACTGCGCGTACCCTCACCCCAACCCCGCATTAGTATGATATTGTCCGCTCTGGGCCAAGCCCTCACGGATTTATTTTTGGGCACCTCCCAAAAGGCCTCATACTAATGGAGTTGGGTGAATCTATATATTTTGGTTCATTTACTCCTACTCATCCGGTGTGGGACTTGGAGGAATCCCAACAAATATAGATAAATTTCCCTTTTAGAATCCAATTAAACCCATCTTAATATATGGTATTATGGTGTAATTCCACTTCAAAAAAATATCATTAGTTTTTGAAATTTTTTAAGGTAATATTTAGAAACTATAATTCATTTGAAATCTTAAATTTCAATTTTAAAATTCAAAATCGCTTTACTTTAAATTCTAGATGTTATTGGAAAATCATAAAATTTAAATTCTAAATTCGAATTTTGAAGTAGACAAAGATAGCGATGGAAGCAAGTTGATATGTAACTTGCAAAGGACCTTAATTGGCTCAAGCAAATTACTAGTAAATTATATAAACTATGTAGTAATTCTTTAAAACAAGTAAAATTTGCACTAAATAGGACTAAAACATAAGTCATTTCTCAATATAGGATTTGAACTTTTTTATTCCTTAAATAAGACTTAATAATGTATAGTGGGAGGAATAATGTCCAATAATGATGGACATTTAATTGAATAATGACCAATTGATAATAATCAAAGGTCCTACATTAGAAAATAAAAACATATGATCTTATATTAAGAAAATTATTACTCCGTATGTTTTAGTAGTCTTATTTAAGTAAATTTCTCTTAAAACAATCCACAGGCATCGAAGTTATAAACTACTCGTATTTCTTTAATTATACAAAGCGGGGTTTATTACTCTTTTTGTATGTACATAAATCGCCCTTTAATTGTAAGTTCGGCCCGGTTCCATGGCCACTGGAATCCAGTGGCCACGGAAGTCACTGCCCCCCTACAGAACTCCGTTCATAAAATTGATGATTCCTACTCTAACCCCTCCGGTAAACCCCCCCGCCAAGTCCCAACCCAAACTAATCACCCCACTTACGTCAATTGCAACTCGTAAGTATAATTGACTTTAAAGTCAAAAGTTTTGACTTTATACTTACGAGGTGCAATTGACGTAGGTGGGATGATTAGTTTGGGTCGGGACTTGGTGGGGGGGGGGGGGTTTACCGGAGGGGTTAGAAGGGGTAGGAATCATCAATTTTATGAACGGAATTCCGTAGGGGGGCAGTGGCTTCCGTGGCCACTGGATTCCAGTGGCCATGGAACCGAGCCGTGGTAAGTTATGCATTAAAGATAAAGTTGGATTTGATATTGTAAATGACATGCGGAGATGTGTATTAACCATTCTATTTGTAGATTGAAGGAAGGATTATATTTTTGTGGATGTTCTTGAATTGATTTTAACAAAAATATTAAACATATAGAATTGTATGGGTTATATCCAAAAAGACTTAGAAAAAGTTTTGATTGTCCATCAAAAAGCCAAAAAGACATTTCACGTCAAACAAGTATGGGTTATATAGACTTGTAGTGTAAATTTCACGTGACGAAATAATATATTATCACCGCCTTTTAGTTGGAACATATCACTAAAATGTCTGTTAATCATTTGACTAAGGATCATTTAAATTGTCAAATGATTTAGATAAGAAAATACATGTGAGAGATCATTTAGATAAGATATAAGTTAGCAAAATGCTTCACCCTAAAATTTTATGAAATCTTTTTTTAAATAAAAGATTATTTTATTGATATATATTTTTCATTTTCGAAAATTCACTATCACTCAAATGTATTTTCTATTTTAAGGCTTTACTTGGACACAATATTTTCAATTAGCGTTAGAGTTCTAGACATTTTTTTAAAGATACAGATTGTGTTTTACTATGGTTTCAATATGTTAACATATAATATAATTAATTTTATCTATTGATCAAAATTTATCAAATTTAAATTAAAAAGTCTGAATATACGTAGTAATATTTTTTAAAAAGAAATATTACTCTATGGGTTTTTTTCAAAAGAAAAAAAAAAGAAAATAGGTAAGAGTTTAATTGTTAATCAATGGTGCCCATAACATTTAGCCAGAAGACTTGTGCTATTGTGGTCCTAAAGCACATGTGAAATGTAGACTTTTTCACATATTTTTCATGCACTCAAATTGAATCTCCAGTATTTATTTGTAATATTTATGGCTTGAACAAGTTAGGATTGTTCATGTCGGTTATATGAAATATCTTGATCTGATTAGAGTTGTGCGCTGATCTTAAAATCAATTTTACGATTTAAAAAAAATCTGGACACACAGAATTGAACCAAATGACTGAGAGGGTGTTACAACACCTACTGCCAAAATGGGTTAACAACGTAAGTATAAAAATCACAAAGAATAACATACACTAGATATGTTTACGCAATTCGAAGAAACGTTCATACTGTGCAGGGTCCATGTTTGTGTAATAGCATGCACTAAATCACCAGAAGCATATTACACCAATACAAAATATAATGATGAGATACACTTCTTTAAATTGTTGTGACAAAAGCTCTCATCTATCCCTAGGATTTCTAAACCGTATCATATGTTGTACGAATGTGCTTTGGCTATCACCTCTTCACCAAGATTACTAGGACAAACATGTTGGCAGCTCTCTTGTTCAGTTTGGGTTCAACTTCTAGATGTTACTATGATCTATTGACATTATTGAAGATCTCCTTGTTCATGCAGATTACAACTTCTTCAAGCAAAGGGTATCTCCTGGACGAGAGAGCTTTACATCAGCATGTGTTTTTCATTTTTTTCCTCATAATTGTTCTATGAAATCACAGGGATCTGCTGAGTTTAGATATGCCTCTTAAAACATAATCTTAAATTAGTAGCAATAGGTATATAGAATTTGTTTTGAATACAACCTTTTAAAACTTGATCAACAAGTAAGATAAACCTCTTAAATACCAGGTGAGAATTTAAAATATACTTCCCTTAGCTTGTCCCATAAACTCTTTTTCTTTTGTTTTTTCTTTGTTCCACAAAGTTTTTCCCATTCGTATTAAAAATCACTTTTACCCCTATTAATCCATACCCTATCTATCACATTATACTTTTTTAGTTATAATCTACCCATTACATTTTACTTTTAGTCATCACATCAAGTGTATTTACATAAATTCAACACAAAAATATCTCTTTTTTAATTCTTCTAAAAGTCAAAAAGGGAAACACTTTAATTAAGGGACGGAGGAAGTAAATCACAGTAAGTATTTTTAGTCAAGATAAGTCTTTTGCTCGTAAAATTGCATATTGCAAACTCTATTTTTTGCACAAGCCTTGCCGATCCGGTCACAGTGCGCTGAAGCATCTTTTGTGTCAACTTTGAAAAACAGTAGCTCTAAAAGTCGGAATAAAAATCTCTCATAACTTATAGAGATTTTTATCTAGTAAAACTTATAACAAATATGAGTTTTTATTTTGCCAAAATTTTAGCCAATACCTTGAAACTAACATTATGTGCTATATCCATATCGGCCTAATGTTTTTCATGATAGATTTGGATATTTTATGACAATGACGAGTCGCTTAGGGTCAAGTTAGGATTGGATCTTCCTTCGCTTAGGCGTTACATGCATACTTAGTTCAATTGAGATCGATGCAAAATGGCGTATTGGCTGGATTCCATTCTTCGCAATAAAAATAAAGAATAGGTCCTTGCATGTATCAAAGACAAATTTCACTTTATATTGCTTATAAGTCTATAATTAAAAACTTGATTTATTTTCTTTCAAATTACTATTCAAACCAGGGTTAAGAAATTGGGTTTAATTACCCTTTGTTTCTTACTTTTGGAGAGTAGGTAAAGATAGACTGATAATAGAGGTCGGTTAGGGGCAAGGGAGCAATGAGACAAGTTTTGTTTTAATTTAAAAGGGGCAGTCCTATGTTTGATATTTTGATTCTTGCCATCATTGTAAGGAACACATCGTAGACTTTTTGGTTCAATAATTCATAAAGAAACTACTCCTGTTGAAAAGAAATGGTATAAACAAAAGTTCGAGCTGCCCCTTTAGATTTTAAGGTAATTTACACAAACAAGACTTAAACACATCATTTTTTTCCCCAAAAAAGGATCGGTCTTATATATTCTAATTTTTGGGAATGAAAAATTCTAAAATGTTATGTCTTTGAAAAAACTTCAAGTAATTATAAAAGACTAATGATCTATTACACAATTCAAATAGAACAAGATATTATTAAAAAACAATTTAAATAATCTGTCATTATACAATACTTGTTGTAAATGACCATATTCATAGAGTTATTTGTATAATCAGTTAATATCCCACACTTGTTGCTAATGAGGACATAAATAACAGATTATATAAAAATATATGCCATAAAAGAAATAAAATATATTTGGTTTTATTCAGAGAAACGTAGCTTTTAGTACTATACGGAGAAATTATTTCTAAATTTTAACCACTCAGTCCGATCCCTCACATGCATGTCTTCGTTCACATTTAGATATACTCCTTCTTCCTTTTTTGAAACGTTTAAAATTAGTTATTGCTTTTATTGGAATATTGGAATATTGAATTTACTCAAAAGAATAATGAAGAGTATTTCACACACACACACACACACATACTACCTCCGTCCTAGTGTATTTGTCCAGTTTGACTTTTTTTGAGTCAAACTGGACCAACTTTGAACTCCAATTACTCTCAATTTATATTG